TAATAATAACGAGGATGAGGATAATAATAAAATAATGATGATGATGACAGGTTTTGTATGTTGGTTTTCAGCCCAGTGAGGTTCTCGTCTTGGATGAAGGACTTGAAAATCAGACTTCTTCATATTAAAACCATGATTTTTAAAAAAATCGTAAACACACCTAAATCCTACATGTTTCATGGCGTTTGCTTATTTAATAGTCTAAATGTGGGAGGCGTCCAATTGGCATCACTCTTCAGAAGGAAGTGCTTTTTTTTAGGATGGGCTCCTTCAATTCATTTGTTTTCCCAATTTCCCACTAGCTGCCTGCTCTGGATTCCCCCCGGGTTTCCTTTGCTTTATTGTAATTTCATTCCGTTTTTAATATTTATTTCCCTGATTAGCCCTCTGTTCTGGATTCTCCAGAGAGCTCACCCGTCCCAATTCTGGATAGCACTTCACCCCACACATCCCAGTTCTGAACAGCTGTAATTGAAATGGGGAAACTAAGTTTCTTGGAAAGAAAAAGAAAGCAGTTTAAGGATTTGGGAATAGCTATATCTATTTGGAGGGGGAAGACTTGCAGGGGCCAGTTGAACAGTATTGTGAAGTAAACACTTTTTAAAAAAACAGAATGGGGGGAGCTGCATTTTCAATGATAAATACTACAAGATTGATGGGGTTTTTTTTATAAAAAAACTTTTATCACTTCAAAATGCAGAAAAGGATGCCGCTAGCTATTAGCAGCTGTGATTAAAGGTAGGTCTGACATAAAAGAAATTGGACTGCAAGTTGCTCACCTAGGAAAACAGCTGGCTCAAATTGAGAAATCCATTTGCTGTGCTGACAAGACAGATTTACAGTTTTATGTTGCAATTCTGTCAATAGACACTCAAATACTATTGGCAGTTTTCGTATCTGCTAAACCATTCTTTTGTTAGTATGCCTTGCAGAATAAATCACAACTAGATTGCAATTTCAAACTACTATTTTGTTAATCATCTCTTGCAAAATAAATTGCAAATGCCGTTGTAATTTCAAGCTAAACTGTAAATCATGGTTAATAGCCAAATGGCTTGGTTTATTATGTTAAGTAATGTGCTTTTAATGAGAGGTGTGTGTGTGTGTGTGTATGTGTATATGTGTGTTGGCTTAGAATGAGTTATGAATGAACGCACTGTGGTGTAGTGGTTTACACCAGAGGTCCCCAACCCTTGCGCCATGAACCAGCAAGGTTCCGCAGCATGCAAGAAATCGGACCGCACAAACAAGTGAAGCCCCATCCATGAGATGCAGGCAACATAAAGAAGCCATGTCCCCCTCCAGTCCATGGAAAAACCTACCTCCACAGAACTGGTCTCCAAAAGATTGGAGGCCGTTGGTTTACACCATTTGGGATATTGAGAGTTTCAGGTGTCCTGTTTGATTTTGTATCAACTAGATTTAGGGGGCCCTACCAGCAAAACTGTTGAAATTATTCTGGTATCTCTTCTCTGTTAATTTTTTCAAGTCGTATTGAAATTTTATGTATGCTTTTCTAAAATTGTGTCCTGGTCATTTCAGCTTCAAAATCACTTCAGGAATATTTTCATATGGAGTTTGATGGATGATCTGTTGCATTTTTAGAGGTGCAGATAAAGCTTGCAATTCTCCTTAAATGAAAAAAATCATCGGAGGAAAAAAATGATTGAAGTCATAATACTGAAGGTACTGTGATTAACTTTCTGTATATTAAAATACATTTGAGGCGATGTGAACGTATTTTAATATGGGTTTTATTATACTTATTTAGATTGAAAATCCAGATTGCTTTTGGGTCTACATAACAGGAGGCAGAAAAATTGTAGTCAATGAAATGGAATATGAAACACTTCAGACTGAAATGAATCAATTCTATAACAAACATTATCAATGTGTGGATGCCAAGCCTTGTGTACTAGAAGAAGGACAGGTGATTTTAATCTGATATTTTTGGCTATATCTGGGAGAAAAAACAAAACTTCCTTCCTATTTCTTGTTTATATGTTTAAAGATAGCAAACCTTCTAAAAATACTTAAATGCAGTGCATTTATAATAATAATAAATATTAGACAATTCTGGAATCATCATAGCAATGGCTTAGTGAGGTGGTAAGGTAAGGGTTAAGAAAGCTTTTCTGGTGGTGAAAGAGAATATTAAAAGGTTATACTTGTTAATATTAGGACGCAAGATTTGCTTTTTATGACAGTGATGAAAATACATCGTACTGTCTTTTAATCTTGGATAGAAAACAGGCACATCTTTTGCAAAATCCATATGCTAGATAATATTTAAATAATTGATTTTGGCATGAAAGCCAGCTGAGTGACTGGGCCACTCATGTACCCTGAACCCATGATCAAGGTCCTACGACAAGCCAGTAGATCCATTTCTGTTGCAACCAATGGTTCAATGCTTGCAGACACTGCATTTGTGGAAAAATACTAGGAAGAAGAAAATGTAAATAAGTAATTTAAATACCTGTTGAAGAATGCCTGAAAAAAACATAGAAATCTCTGATTCTTGTCTGATATGTATTCTATCACACATGTATTTACTCTGCCAATTATCTGTTATCAAACAAACAACATAGATTGTATAACATTAAACATTCATGTGCCTTTCTTAGGTTTGTGCTGTTTACTGTGAGGAACTGAAATCTTGGTGCAGAGCTGTTGTTAATTCAATCATATCATACACGGATTATTACATTGCAGAATGTTTCCTTGTGGACTATGCCAAAACTATTCCTGTGAACACTGAAAAGTATGTGTTTATAATCTGTAAAGTCATTCAGTAAAGGATTGGACCAAGAATTGAAACATTTTGGTCATAATGTTACCTGTCTGCCCAATCATATGGGCCTGCTGTGTTGGTTTGATCCAACTGATACGTTAGTATAAGACTATAGGCATAGCTGGACATTTTTGGATTCATTCAAAGCCTAGGATTCTTTTAGAAAATTTGGGTTGACTGGTTAGTAAATTTAAAAACTGAGAACAGAAATAGATTTGTCATAAGGTTCTGAAGAATATAAATTTATGCTCATTTTACTGGTTTTGCCTGTAAAGCAACAGCACTTTCCTGTAAATAGAAGTTATTATAATCTGAAGTTTGAACACTAAATCTACTGGTATGAAAATTATTGGTAGAAATTTGTAATTGTGTGTTGTGAAACCTATTTTCTTTCAGGATCTGTGTGGTCATAAAACCATTTGTGAGGCTGCCTTATAGAGCTACAAAGTTTAGGTTGTACTGTGTCAAACCAGTAACACTACGTGTCAACTATTACAATGACAATTCTGAGATAGTGTAAGTATGGCTGCTGAAAGATGAGGTTAAATATTCTAAGAAAACCTTCCACTAACTTCAGAGAGGATCTTTTCTGCATAACTGTTAGGTGATTTTGGGCCAGTCCCTCTCTCTCAGCCAAATTCTCCCCACAGAGTGATAGTTGTGGGGAAAATAGAAGGAAAAATATTACTGCCTTGACTTGTTTATAAAAGTAATAAAGGTGGGATGAAAACAAATTAGTAAAAATAACTTTATAGTCAACTTATTGTTTTATACCTGCTTGTACAAATGCCATTTGCCGGATTTTTGTATGTTTTCTTTTATTTTGCTGCAGTGTAATACATTAAAAGCTTCTTGTGTTTCTTTCTAGGCCTGCTAACAAATGGGATATTGCAGCAATCCAGTACTTCCAAAACCTCCTGAATGGTAAAGAAAAACTAGAATAACCTCTTATATAATTTCAGTTTTTTGACAAGCCTATTTTATAAAATTTTCATAAAATAATGGACTTAGGAGACTTATATTTAAATTGAGAGTTGTATAGAATTCATCTTAGCAGCAACGCACATTCCTCTTTTTAACTGTAAACAAGCAAATGTCCCAAAGATGGTTTGTTTGTTTTTTCAAGGGGCAACTGGACTTCTGGTTTTTATTTGAAGATGTTTTACTTCTGATCCAAGAAGCTTCTTCAGCTCTGAAGAAACTTCTTGGATGGGGAAGTGAAACATCTTCAAATAAAAACCAGAAAGTCCAGTTGCCTCTTGAAAAAAAAAAAGCACATGTGTACATTTTGGACACAATTTATCTCATAAACTCCCCCCCCCCTCCCCGCCTTCCCTTTGGTCCCCATGACCTACAACCATTGTAAATACAGGTAGTACTTGACTTAAAGCGGTTCATTTAGTAAACTGTTCAAATTTACAACGGCACTGAAAAATGTGACAATACCATTTTTTACAGTGATGACCTTTGCAGCACCCCCCATGATCATGTGATCAAAATTCAGACACTTGGCAACTGGCTCGTATTGATGGCTGTTGCTGTGTCCCAAGGTCATGTGATTTCCTTTTGTATCCTTCTGACTGTCATGCCCTTGTTGGAGTCTGATTCTGAGGGGGAGATTGAGCAGCTGACAGGGAGTGGGAGTGTGGATCCGGTGGCTGTGGAAGAAACGGGGGAAGGGCTATCCCCTCTTCATCCTAGGGCATGCAGGGAGGAACGGAGAAGGGAGCAACATGGCTTACAGGAGAGAAAAAGGTCCTGATCTCCTTCATGGGCTGCAGCTAGGAAGACTGTTTAAAAGGGCAAACTGCGTATGGCAAAGTTGCTGGAAGCAAAGTGTGTATTATCTTTGTCGAGGCTTATCTGGGTTTTGGCGTCCTCCCAACCGTGGGTGCTGCATTATCTTTTGGAAGTCTGCGATTTATCATCCTGGCCTGTCGTGTTAAGTACTTCAGCGTGGTTTGTGTTGGTTTTTTTATTTCTAATTATCTTTACTTTGGATTCGGATTGCATTTCTTCCTTTCATAGACTGATTTTGGAAAAGTTTGATCTCCAGACGAGGATAACTGAACATTGGGGGCCAAGTTGGAGGCATTAAAGGGAATTTATCTACTTTGGTGATTTTGTTATTATTGTGCCACGCCCCCAGTCATCACATTGACGAGCAAAGTCAATGGGGAAGGCAGATTCACTTACCAACTGGGTTACTAACTTATCAACTGCAGTGAATCATTTAACAACTGTGGCAAGAAAGGTTGTAAAATGGGGCAAAACCCACTTAACAACAGAAATTTTGGGCTCAACTCTAGTCATAAGTCAAGGACTGCCTGTACATGCAGGTTGCCAAGTACCCAAAATACAATCAGTGACCCGGGGACGGCGTGTCCGTCATAACTTCAAGGACCAGTCATAAGACACTTGTTTCAATGCCATCATAACTACAAATGGTCGTTAACAAGAGGTCAGTTGTAAGTTGAGAACTGCTTGTACTTTGGTCAATATCCAGTATAAAGAATTGATATTAAAACAAAAACTTACTGCTATGGTAATCTAATAAGCCTCATTTTAATCATAGAAGCCACTCAAGTGGAAGCCAAGATATGTGCTGTTGAAGAGGATAATTTTGCTGTCTATCTTTATGTCACAATAAAAGGTGAAAAGGTAATATTTACAAATTACATACAGTCTTTTAAATTGAGTGTTGGCTTCCTGGCCATGTTAATCCTGTGCAGGGAGTAGAAAACAATATCCTCTTCTATGCAGTGCTTCTATGGAATGGACCTTGGAGGTCTTCTAGTCCAGCCCCCTGCTCATTTAATATAGTTTAGATTAAATATTGCAGTGCTGTTTTCTGCCGCTCTTAATGTGATATTTTTATTTTGACAAAATTCCTTAAACGCCAGAAATGCCTCGTTACCTAACTATGTCACATTAATCATTTCTAATATATAACCATAAAAACTCTCGTGTATTTTCATTTATCCGCCTCTTTAATCTTCACATGCAAAACACTGCTTTTGTCACAGGTGTGTGTGAACGATGCTCTTGTTGCAAAGAACTATGCTTGCTATGAACTTGAAGAAACAAACCAGAAACGAGATTCAGAAGGTGGCAAATCTCGTTCAGAGGAGAAGAATCCTGTAAGGCTGCTGTGGCCAATGTTACTACGAGAATCTAAGGTTTCTGAGATGGGTAAGTATGAGATATATGAGCTGCGGTAGCGCAATGGTTAGAATGCAGTCCTGCAGGCTACTTCTGCTGACTGCCGGCTGCCTGCAATTTGGCAGTTTGAATCTCACCACTCAAGGTTGACTCAGCCTTCCATCCTTCCAAGGTGGGTAAAATGAGGACCCAGATTGTTGCGGGGCAAGAGGCTGACTCTGTAAACCGCTTAGAGAGGGCTGTAAAAGCACTGTAAAGCGCTATATAAGTCCAAGTGCTATTGCTATGGCTGAACCCGTCCCTCAAGGAATAGGTCAGTGGTGATAGCAGCTGAGATGAAGCGTCTTCTGGAATACACTCTGCCTGCACACTACAGCAGGATTCTCCAACTGCCAGGAATGGCTAGCAGGCTATTCCAATGTTCTGTGATTAGAATGCAGTAGTAGGGGTGAAATTGGCAGGGCAATGAGACCTGGAGGTGTTGGAGGCACAAGCACTGTGCTTTTCAGGGCTGAAGAAGCTGCAGAAAACTGGGAGGAAGTGGATGATTCTTCCTGGCTGCAGAGTTGTTGAAAACAAAAAAAAAAGGCAAGACACAGAAAGATAAATGACAGCTGCTTGGAGTCGTCCTATAACCTACCCTAGAGCAAGGATGTCCAACTCGAGGCCCAGGGCTGAATCCACCCTGCCGGGTGCTTAAATGTGGCCTGTGGGACCGGCCTGGAAATAACAAAGGACCGACCCGCGGTGCCTCTGGCAGCCAAAACAGGGGGCACACAGCTGCTCCGCGGCCTGTTTCACCCAGCAGCATGCTGCAGGAGGCGTCAGTCTTGTTTTCCCTCCCCCCCACCACCCCGGCACTAAAGTATCTGCCATGAATTATTCCCAATCAAAAAAAGAGGAAAAACGAAGGGGCACACTTTGGTTCATTGCACACTGAATTCGACCAATGTTTACCACTACACCAAAACTGGGAGTTCTAGAGTGCGCTGTGTTCTATATTTTGTATTGTTTTTACCTGTGGTAGCCCACCCAGAGTCACTATATAAGATGGGTTTTTATACTAATGAAAATTGTACTTTATTTTAATTTTGTTTTTTATTATTTTATTTCCAAGAGATGGCCTTTAGAAGATGCATTTTAACATTTTAGTAAAAAGTCACTTGCACGTTTCTTTTAGGTGCTGCTCCTATTTGTGATAATTCTGAGATAGCAGAGTTGACACATTTCCCAGAAATTAACTTACATAAACCAAAACAGCCTGTAAGTACTAAATGCATTCTTTTTGCCTTCTTGGTTTTCACATGTCAAGCATTGCTGAACTGTTAAAACATCCAAAACTTGGGGAAAAGCTCTATTCAATTTTCGAATGGTTTATTCTAAATATCACACTACTAACTAGAGCATACAAAAGATTTGCTAGACCAATACTCGAATACAGCTCATCAGTCTGGAACCCACATTACGTATCTGATATTAACACACTTGAGAAAGTCCAGAAATATTTCACAAGAAGAATTCTCCACTCCTCTACTCGTTGCAGAACACCTTATGCCACCAGATTTGAAACTCTAGACCTAGAAAACCTTGAATTACGCTGCCTCCAGTCCGATCTAAATATAGTATATAAAATCATACATTGCAATGTCCTACCTGTCAATGAATACTTCAGCTTCAATCATAACAATACAAGAGCACACAGTAGACACAAACTCAAGGTTAACCGCACCAAACTTGATTGCAGGAAATATGACTTCAGCAACAGAGTGGTCAATGTTTGGAATACTCTACCTGACTCTCTGGTTTCTTCCCCAAACCCCAAAAACTTTAGACTGTCTACTATTGACCTCACCCCCTTCCTAAGAGGCCTGTAGGAGGCGTGCATAAGTGCACCAATTGTGCCTACCATCCCTGTCCTATTGTTTTTTGCTTTTTCTTATAAGTATCTTATCTCATGTATTCAAAACTATATTTATTCTTATACCTGTATCTTGTAAGCAATTGACAAATCAAGTCAAGTGTAAAAATGTAAAATGTAAAAATAAACATTTACAGATTATGCAAAAGATAGCACATATCTAGTATTTAGCTGCTTTTAAGAAATATGATACCAGGTATCTTGCTTTTTATTCTGTAGTGAAATGCACTGTTACAAACGTAGACATGATCCTTTTTGTAGAGTCCTGAATAAAAATGTGAGATTCCTTTATTTGCCTGCTTAGGATGCAGTGGTGCCTGTTTCCCCTTTGAAGCAAGGAGTAACTTTTTCTGTACCATCAGACATGCAAACAGTCAGGTATATTTTAAATGTTTGCATTTCATTTCTGTTTCATTACTGGTAAGATACTATTTTCTTTTTTAAAAAAAACCAGAAAATTGTTGGTTGATATTATAAAGCAAAATTAATGTTTAAATTTAAATTTAAGCTGACTTAAATTGACTTCTAATAAGAGACTGAGGGATGTTTTAAAATATTAATATTATCTATGTTTTGTACAACAGAATATTGATCAAATTCATCTTAATAGCTCACTTCTTATGTATCTTATTCCCAGTTTTGAGATGGGCAATTAATATTCTCAAGGGGCCACATGAGTTCCTGGTCTGCTGGTGAGGGCTGTGGGGGTACACTCACCCAGAAGGCCATGCTTCAACCGAAATGGTGGTGGGTGGCTGAGCCCATATCCCCTCACACACTGTCTGCTACTGCCATCTGAGGCTGCTCCAGGATTTGGTTTATAATTTCCAATTGCCCTCACATGGTCCAGGAAGCCAAATGGTCAGATGTGGCCCAGCAACCGTAAAATACCCAGGTCTGTTCCTATTTTTATTTTTCATCCTTAGCTGGGATCCACACACACACACACACACACACACAAAAAAAACCTGTCAGCAGAGGACACATTCCCATTTCTCCCCATGCTGTTTTTCAGGGAGAATAAGAATCCCAGAATTTAGAAAAAATCCTGATACATGTGTGCAATCTCTCAGCAGTTATGTTTACAGATATTACTAAGATTTTTCTCAAACCATTGTGCTTCATTTTAGCAACTTGCCTAAGACGAGTACCAAATTACAGGAAAGGGAGAATGATCTCTACGAGAACAACCTTGGGGTGAAGTAAGCTTTTTCTCATTGTGACAACCAATATTTATGAAGTCCAAGCCATTAATATGCTTTGTATAAAGAACAGGCAGGTGCATTTACACCTCTTCCTTAAATAGGTTTGATTCTGCGTGTTCCAGGAAAGGACACTGCTGGTACTGCATCTCTTTCAAAAACGAAGGTGGCTTCTTGTTATAAACTCAGAGCCTCTGATTTGAGCTGGCCTTAATATTTAGCTGAAAAGTGTGATTACCAGTAATTCGTAATTTTCCTGCAACAGCCCAATCTTGACCATGATGATATATGCTTCAAAAAAGATGAGCTCCCTGCCTGGATTTCAGAAAAGCAGTGTCTTGTGCTCAACTACTCTTAGAAAAAGGCAGCCCTTTTCTCTGAATTAGTACTTGGAGAGGCTCAGAAAACAACTAAAAGGCATTTAATTGCTTCTTGAGCCTTTCCAAAATCAAAGTGAAGTGGTGAACTTTATCCAGGAAAAGAATGGAAAGCTTGCCAGTTTAAAAAAAAAAACATGCTTGTTATTGGTGAGTTGATCAGTACCTTTGTTAATTATATTTTTAGCTATTAAACTACTGGAAAAGTATGTACTGAACTGGAGTATTGGGGTTAATCCTCAAGCCATGGGGTGATCCATGTCCTGTTTATTTCAGACACCATATATAGTTGCTAAACAGCAGTTTATTTCCTACCATGATGGAATAAAACTTTAATATAAGGAATTAAATGTGGTAAACAAAAAAAAAGTTATATTGTAGAGTTCCGGAGAGCTTCTGCACAGGAGAAAATTTCCTGTATGCCTAATTACACTTGGTTAAATTAAGTGTTCTATTTTGTTCTATTTCTTGCAAGCAGTATCTAACCATTGCTTTTCTTTTCCAGGATGTTGTGTTTTTAACAGCTGAATAAGTCTTTCTTTATAACATCTATCATTAGTTTAAATTAAGAAACATTCTAATTTGGGATTTGGATTGCTGAGACTTGGGGCCAAAATTTGTTAAGTGAATGAACCAGCAAATACAACCCAAAACAGCAAGAAGCTGTATATTATTATTACATTTATTGTCAGAGTACAACATGTGTACAATGAGATTGGCTGAGCCTCCCTCATATTTGACCCTCAACTGTTTGTAAAGCTTAGAAAAACAAAGGCTGAATGAATGAACTTTTAATGGATACTTAAAAAATCAACTTGTGTGTTTTCAGGCTTCTACAGTTTTTAAACCCTGATCCTCTGAAAATTGCCACTGAACAAGAAACTGAGGTAATTCAAAAAACAAGTTAACTTTTAATGTTTTAATTTGTGTGAACGTTTTTCCGAAAGGAGAAAAGTTTTAACGTTTCATGTTTTAATGAAGGCATAAGAAACTGAATCTTCAGATTTGCACTGTCTTAGAAGTTTCTTGGATATTACAGGATCCAATTAACCTGGGACCTGTATATTTGTCTTTATTTTTGGGGTGTTTTTGTTTATTTTGTAAAAAAAGAAATAAACAAGGTAGAAAACACTTGTGTCAAGTTGAACACTCAAAAAGATTATATGTGGCCTTTTAGCCTTTCGTTGGTGTTTATTTTTAGGAGCTTAAGCTGAATATCACCACTACGTGTCTTCCTGTTGTGCTGAGTAATAAAATCGAACCTTGTTCATCTCTAGAAACCGCACCACTGTTTCCAGCTTTAAAAAAGGTAGTATTTACAATCTTCAATAGGATATAATTTACCATATTGCAGAAAAGCATATTGGTGATGCCTTGATCAAATTCCTTAAATAGCAGTGACTATACATCATTCTGAACAAAAGCATTTGAATAATCCTTCATGGTTATTTTAATTTTTTTTTGCAACATTCAGCATAGTGATATTAGAAGTTAACAACAATTAATAGCCCATGCTTCTGGGACTACCAAAACCGTCCCAGGCTCGTTTAGCTAAATTATTTGCATTTTGGTGGTGGCGTATCAGAAAAGGGAGGAAGGGCATTGTATAGTTTTATTTAATGACAGTTTAATCTTGATTCCTTCAATAGTTGAGTCCTTCAAATTTTGGGGTTCTGTAATCTCCCATGATTTGAAATGGACACCTAACTTAGAAGTATAACTAAAAAGGCACAACAGAAAAGAATGTTCTTCCTGTGTCAACTTAGGCAGTTCAACCTGCCCAAGGAACGGTACAGTTCTACAGAGAAAGTACTGAGTCTGTCAGTTATACTCCAAGAACATTCTGGTTTGGTACAGCAGCGAACAGGAGAGGTACAGACTGCAAAAAAAAAATTTCTACCAGGCTGCCTTCCATTGAGGACCCGTACATTTCACGAACCAGAAAGAGGGCTGAGAAAATATCTATACAGTCCAGTGGTGACATTCAGTCACCTTGCACCACCTCAGGAGAGGTGGTAGGGACAATTTGAATCGGTTGTCCCCACCCACACCCACCCACCTTCTTCCTTTTAGAGACTGGGTCCCACCAAGCCACACCCACAGAGCCGGTAGGGAAAAATTTTGAATTTCACTCCTGCTACAGACCCCTCGAATTCTGGATATAAATTGTTTCAACTCCTCCCCTCAGGGGGGGCCAAAACAATTAGACACAGGGACAGTTTTTTCCCTTGTGCCGTGACTGCTGAATACCTAATCTTCACGGTATTGTTCAACATCTAAGTATGTTTACCAGTGTTGCATGACTGTAGTATTATCCTTCTCGTCTTCTCTACTACCCCCTCTTACTATATAATCATTACGATGGTTATTACTCTGTTGCTTTGCAAGTACATTGAGAGCTTCTGCACAGGAGAACATTTCCTGTATGCCTAATTACACTTGGTTAAATTAAGTGTTGTATTCTGTTCTATTTCTTGCAAGCAATATCTTACCAACTATTCTTTGTTCCTTTTCTGAAAGGAGCTTTTAAGAAAGCAATTCCAAGGACCTAATCATGTACAGTCTTACTCCTGGCCTGCAATAGCACGTGGATATGATTCGCTTATTATCTCTTCTGAAAGTGACCCACTTTCATATCTTCTGCCAATCATTACATTTTTGCAGTCAAGAAATTGCTACATATCGTTATCACCTAGACAAGGTGTAAGTGGAATGTTCAATTAATACTTCACAATTCCCTTAACTACTGGCAAGTACTTAAATTGGGCTACAGTGAGGTTATTATTGTTCCTAGTTCTCCTGTTGCATTTTTTAACATGTTTTTTTAATGAAATTCTTTGCATAGAAGGAAAAATGATTTTGGAAAGATGGCAGTGATTTAAAGATAGCAATAATAAAACATGCAGTGGTACTCAAACTCGTAAAATACCAATTTATAACAACTTGGTAAGGCCACACTTGGAATACTGCATTCAGTTTTGGTTGCCAAGATGTAAAAAGGATGTTGAGAGTAGAAAGAGTTCAGAGAAGAGCAACAGTGATTATTAGGGGATTGGAGACTAAAACATGAAGAACAGTTGCAGGAACTGGGTATGTCTAATTTGATGAAAAGAAGGACTAGGGGAGACATGATAGTAGTGTTCCAATATCTGAGGGGCTGCCCCAAAGAAGAGGGAGTCAAGCTATTCTCCAAAGCACCTGAAGGCAGGACAAGAAGCAATGGGTGGAAACTAATCAAGGAGAGAAGCAACTTAGAACAATTAATCAGTGGAATAACTCGCCTCCAAAAGTTGTGAACGCTCCAACACTGGAGGTTTTTAAAAAGATGTTGGATAACCATTTGTCTGAAGTGGTGTAGGGTTTCCTACCTAAGCAGGTGGTGGGACTAGAAGACCTCCAAGGTCCCTTCCAACTCTGTAATTCTGTTCTTAAAAATGTTTGGGTCTCTGCACAAGTTTGTATTGTTTGTAATGGCTTTTTTAAGAAGTATGATCTACATATTTCTGATTCATCTCTGTATATTGTTTTGTATATGTAGCCAGTAGCATTAGTCATATGCCCAGGCCAGAGGAGAGCAGAACTGGTATTTGAGCACCTGAAAATGTACAGCCATTGCTCCAGGCCTCTCCACCCAATGTTGCTTTTCCTGGGAATGAAAAAGGAAGAAATCAAGAGTGTAAGAATTCCAAGAGGATGTAAGCAAAACTTGATTAATTGTATTGCCCACGGGAAAAAAATGAGCAGATAAAGGCACAACAAAAATGTAAAGGGAACCCTAAGCATGTGGCAAAGAATTTTAGAATAATGCTGCTGCCTCTTAAAACGTTTTAACTGTAACTACAGGCAGTCCTCGACTTACAGCAGTTCATTGAGTGACCATTTGGTTACAGCGTCACTGAATAAAGTGGCTTACAACCGTTTTCCACGCTTATGACCATTGCAGCATCCCCAAGGTCATATGATCAGAGTTTAGCAATCGATTCATATTTATGGCGATTAGAGCATCTCAGGGTCATGTGGTTCCTCCTTTTGCGACCTGACAACCAAAGTTGGGGAAGCCAGATTCACTTAACAACCATGTTATTAACTTAACAGCCACCGGTGATTCACTTAACTGGGACAAGGAAAGGTAAAATTAGGCAAAACTCACTCAACAACTGTCTGGCTTAGAAACAGAAATGTTGGCCTCCATTGTAGTCATAAGCTGGGGATTACCTGTATCGATAGCCAAAACAAATGAAAGCTTTCTTTGTTTCAGGTAATGAGGTTTGTAAAAGACATAACTCTAAGCCCTAAAGCATAACAAATTACCTCAGAATTCCCCTTTTCCTCCAGGCTAGAGTGCCCTTCAAAGGTACAGCTAGTGTCAGTGTATTTGAACAGTTAAGTTAATAATGTTTTATTTCCACTTTCGAACCCAATGAGCTCGTTTCAGTGATGCATTCCTTTTCATTTGACAGGTGAAATCGTGGTAACAACCCCACCTATCTTTTTGCGGCTGCTCGAGCATCATAGTTTACTCTTCCTTAGGTTGTGTCATCTGGTGTTTGATGAAGTTGATGTATTGTTCTCTGATGCCAAGGAGCAGGTGAGTTTGTGCTTGGAAGCACTGTTTGGCCTCTGATGAAGGAATAGACTTATATACCACTTCACAGCCCTGTCTAAGAAGTTTTTACAGAGTCAGCATAATTGCCCCCAACAATCTGGGTCCTTATTTTACTTACCTCGGAAGGACGGAAGGCTGAGTCAACCTTGAGCCTGATGAGATTCAAACTGCCAAACTGCAGGCAGCTGGCAGTCAGCAGAAGTAGCCTGCAGTACTGCACTCTAACCACTATGTCACTATAGCTCTTAATTGGAAGAAAAGATTTTTTCCCTTCTGCCAAAAAATAAAAATCAGCTGTACTTTTATATTGTTCCCTATAAATAAAACATTTCATTGGGATGCAAAGAGCTTGAACTTGATTTAATGGAATGGAAAGAAAAACAGAACAAGTAAATATCTAACAGTACGTATACCAAAATCCCAGTTCATTTCAAAAGAGCAGCTAGTAAGAAGTTGCTTTCTGGTCCCATCATTTCCATTCATAATCTCCTGAATTAGCAATTCTCTATTGTAAAGGCAGAAGATAATTATGAAACGGTGAAAATTGTGGAAAAAAAGGCTGAAAAACTAATTTTGTTATACGAGGTGCAATGACAAAGTATAAACTAAACTAAACTTTAATCCCTTTTTACAGATACTTACTATTTTACAATACTACAAATCTAACTTGAGCGTTGAAGAAAAGGAGTTTGTGCCACAGCAGATTGTTGCTGTTGGAAACCACTGGGACAAAAATATAGAAGTTTTAACAAAAGAATTCATGAATGATCCATATATTATAATCACCTCCATGGGAGAAGCTGCCATATATGGGAAAGTGCAACAGGTAAAAGGTTTTTTTTTTATATCTCTTGTCTATATAATAGCAGGTTTGGATTTGGCGAAGGCACCAAATGAGATAGCTCTTAGTAAGTAAAAGTATAAAAAGTAAATCATAAAAATTGTCAGATTTCTGTGCTGCTCAGCTCGTGGCATATAAGAGAGTCCAGGTGGTAAAAGATTCTTCTGTGCAAAAAAAATGTGTTATGGCATCTCTAGAATTCAGTACAGGTAGTCCTCGGCTTACAGCAGTTCATTTAGTGACTGTTCAAAGTTACAGCGGCACTGAAAACAGTGACTTACGACTGTTTTTCACACTTAATGACCGTTGCATCATCCCCAAGATCATGTGATCAAAATTCAGAGGCTCAGCAACTGATTCCTATTTAGGACGGGGGTCATGTGATCATCTTTTGCCACAATTTGGGGAAGCCAAATTCTTTTAACAACCATGATCTGCAGTGATTCACTCAACGGCCGTGGCAAGAAAAGTCGTAAAATGGGGCAACATTCACTTGAGAAATGTTTCACTTGGCAGTAGAAAATTTAAGCTCAATTGCAGTTGCAAGTCAAGGACTACCTACTTTGTTCACTCAGAACAAAGGATCAAATTGAGTGTCAGCTGGACCATTGGGGATTTCTATCTTTTGGTCCTTGACTGTGTATAAAAAAAACATTTGTGGATTCTGCCTAAGAAAATAATCCTGATGGGGTTAGGTTTGCATCTCTAAATCGCTTGCCAAAAGGCTTTTTTAAAATGAGGAACTATTTACATTCTAACACATTTGAATAACATGTAAATTTCAGGTTGTGCAGCTCTGCCTTGAGTGTGACCGGATCTCTACTTTACTTCAAACCTTAGATTTTACCCCTACAGATGCTCAGAAGACACTGATTTTTACAAGTTGTGTGGAAGAAAGAGACATGGTATACAAGGTATCTCCTTCCCTAAAACTTGCCATGGTTTGGATGCCCCTGTGTTAGAACCTGCGTTTAAAGAAAGCTAAGAAAGGATGTGAGGCCTGGTTTGTTCAGGGCATTGTAATAGAAAACTAAGTAATAATGGATGGACTCTGATCCAAATAAATGAATCACATTGTATGACTCAGTTATTTTCTGTCAACCCAGCTTTTAACAAAGATTCTCTTATATTGCATATTATATAACTTGATTGCGTCCTCATTTTTATGATCAGGCAGTAGAGAGCATTTCAATCTTTTGCTTGAAAATGAACCCGGGAATTGGATTTCACGCTGATTATATTGTAGAGCAGTGGAACAAAACAATCAGCCCTGGAACCCATGTTGTATTGGGTAAGTATCTTCTCTAGGCTCTTTCTCCAAAACCAATTGACTCTTTAGCTCTCTACTTGTGGTTTTATAGTCTAATTTATGAAGCATTTTTCAATTTTGGATTAAGACCGGCATCAATTCTTTTGTGATCAGCTATAATGATGGCCTCATTAATCCTTAGGGTAGGAGTTAATCCTATAATGAAGAACAAGAGATGGAATTAGTAAGAACAGTATTTATTCTCGATGCTTCTATTAACCCATCTTGTCTACCTGCTCCAGGTGGTTGTTTTCTGCCTATAAAGGATGTGGTTTGCCTTATTTGTAAGCTTCCTCCCAAGTAACTAATTAGTAGTCTGAAAGCGATATGCAGGAACATTAATTTAAGAATCAGCAGATGAGTCTTTATGTTAGAACTAAGCTTACAGAATCCTGTGGGGGTTTGTGCCAGTGGTGCGATTCAAAATTTTTTACTACTAGTTCTTTGGGCGTGGTGTGGCTTGGTGGGTGTGGCAGGGGAAGGATACTGAAAAATCTTCATTCCCTCCCCGCCCCACGAACCTGCTTTCCAGCTCTGTTCTCCTGTGCAGGGCAACCAAAGAAGACCCAGCCAATCAGCTGGGACTCAATGGGAGGCAGAAAATAGATGGGGGCGGGGCCAGTCAGAGGTGGTGTTTGCCGGTTCTCCGAACTACTCAAAATTTCCACTACCGGTTCTCCAGAACTGGTCAGAACCTTCTGAACACCACCTCTGATTTGTGCTGATTATAAAGTGAGCTAGATGTATCTAGAAATACGGATTTTCTTTCCAGTTTTTGACAGCACGTAAAAAGAGGCTTTTGCATTATGGACCTTCTGTTTTTTGTTTCCAGTTTTAACCGATGACTGCACAGTAGCTGCAAAATTTACAGACGCGACCCGTGTCATTCATTTCAGCTTTCCACCAACTCCAAGAATCTTTGGTGCCCGCTTACATGGCCTGTCTGCCAACTTCCAAAATTCAGTAGAAAAGGTCTGAGTAAATCCTAATAAATTGTCAGCATGAAATACAGTTTTGCAATTTCAAATAGAAAAGCTCTCCCTGGGTCTCTTTTCTCTCTAATACACTCCAGTAGCCATTGAGTCTCTCGCTCTACCAAAAACTACTTATTAATTCCTTCCTCCCCCCTCAAAAAAAATGTGAATTTATGCCTGGAATTTTCTGTCCAACTCACAATGTAATACTTCTCTTCTTCTGTTCTTCTGACATTTTCCTTCCCTCCGTGCAAAGAGTCCATCACTGGGAAAAGAACAGAGCAAAGCCAAATCCATCTTGCTGTTGACAGAGAAAAATGCCTGCCATGTAGTTGGAGTGTTGAATTATTTGGAACGGGCAGAAGCTTTCATCCCCCCTGACCTGTACAACTTTACCAGGGGAGTGTTGGAAGCCAAAGAGGAAAAGAGAAGCGGGCAGCCGTTTTGTTCTTCCATTAAGGCCTATGGAATATGCAAGTAAGGAAATGCCAAGGCCATTTTATGTTTATGGAGATTCTCGTCCATCCAAGTCATGGTTGTCCCAAAGCTGCTTTTTCGAAAGGCAACTGGACTTTGTTTTCCTCAAAGACATTTCGCTTCTCATCCAAGAAGCTTCTTTCGTCAGTTCAGCTTCCTGCATGAGAACCAAAACCTCTTCAAGGTGCCTTTCGAAAAGCACCTTTGGGCCAAGGTCATTAGTTTCAGCAGTTGTTTACCTTGTTCTCCTGCTATGAGGGGATCACTTAGCAAAACATACAGACAGCAATCTAATGGCAGCAGTTTGGGAGAATTTTTCTGGCTGCTAATACATATTATCCTTTGATGAGGTGAAACACCCGATCTATTCAAGTAGCAGAGGAAGGAAGTGTAAAATCTGGCTTTTTTTCAAAGCAACTTGTTAAGGAATGGAGAACAGCAGCATCAAATCATGGATTTGCCGTAGCAACTTCTGATCTTTCACATTAGGCAAGGCTAATGTGTTGCAAAACATTGTGTTGTATCACTGTGATGCAGCCTTTTGCTTGATTCCTTTAGTGAACTGTTCGGGAATGCAGGGACACCCTCTGTGGCTCTCACCTGGGATTCACAGAACCTTCGATTTATTCCCCATAGCAATCTGCGGTGCTCCAGTGACACGTTTGTAAACTATTGTTTTGTGGACGTTTCTTCCCCCGTGTTCTCCATGCAAGCTGTGATGGTATCGATTCCTTTTCCGCCACTGCTTGCTTTGTTCCATGATTCCAAACAGTGCGATATTTTGGAATTGCTACCCTAATATTCCTTTGTTGTTTTAACCCTGTCTCCTTACGATCATACAGAAATAAAAACCGCTGTCCAGATCGCCATCGCATTAACCTTCAAATTGATGCGCCCTCAAAAGTAGCTGAGGAAGCTCTGCAAACAGGTGGAATTATAACAGTGAGTCTACAAAACACCTTCGGTTTCTAAATCGGTTCAGATTGGGATGCTTGTTCCAACTTTCTCACAGAAAACACTTTTCCTGCTGTCTCATCTTGATCCTACTAGATACCTCTCTCTGCAACTGGATGTCACCTCAACTGCACGATGCCTTCCATTATTTTAGAAGATCTTGCAGAATTGCTTCAGTTTCCTATTCTTTGTGTGCTAGCTTCCACCCCTCCCCTCCCAAAAAAGCCTCGTACAAGAAAGAGAATGGGGAGAAAACAGTTAAAACAGATGCATTTTTAATGGACATTTACAGTAAATCTAATTACTGGTAGAAATCTTCCTTTGTTGACTTCCGGGAAATATGCAGTGCTTTTTACGTGTGTTTTCTATTTTCAGATACTGCCTCTTTTCATTGTGGATGCCACAAACTACTTAGGCCGTGTGGTAGGGAAATGGGGTAATCTCTACGCAGCTCTTGAAACAGAGATGAAGGACTATTATCAGGAATCTAGCAATTGTACCCCAGTGGACAAAGTGGAGAAGCTGGCAATGTATGGACTGCGGGAAGAAAATTCTTTCCACAGGTAGGATACTCGGAGCGTTGTAGAAATAAATTAATTTAGCCGTCACTAAGCAGGGCAGTCATAAAGCACAGTGCCAAAGGACCGCACCACATGGCAAGAGCAGTCCCAGCTGCCCCCATAACTTCAAAATGTGACGAGTGTTAAGGGGTGCAGGATGAGGAGTGCACAGCAGTGGGGGGGATGCCACAGGCTGCGAGAGGGCAGGGCAGAAACAATGCAGTTGCAGGAGGACGGAGACAGGCTGCAGAGAAAGCAGGAGCAACTCACCAGAGCAATTTGCAAATGGGATCACGCGACTTCAGCTCCCTGCAATGTCACAACTGCGAGCAGAGCGCCCAGATTCCAATTCTAGGGGTGCAGCAACGGCTGGAACATCAACAACCAAATGTACCTCCATTTTTTTTTTTTTTTAGCACTATCACAATTTCCACAACGGCCACTAAATGAGTGGACACAATCAGAGGATTATCTGTGTAATGACTGGTACAGTGATGGTCTAAATCAGAAATAGAAGCAGACCGTGCTGTTTCTCCGAATGGCACCGTGCCCATGGATTCACTCTTGGTGGGGTCTGCCTTTATTACTACTAGGGCAACGAATAGGACCATAACTGGGCCCTATGCAGGGATAGCCAGGCTCCTTGTGGGCTATAGAAAACTCACCCTTAAAGTTATCTCCCCAAACAGGATAGTTTGAGCAGCAGAATCTTTTTTTTATTATTTGTTTATTCATGAGCAGCGGAATCTTAAGGGGCCAAAGATGATTGCAGGTTGTAAGCATAGGGAATATGAACTGAATGCGTAGTTCTCTTTGTTGCGCCGAATCATACGCTCTGGTAGGTTGTACACGTACATACAAGGCCAATTTGTACATATTTTAATAGTTGGAAATTCCTGATGTCTTTCTCCTGCGTTCTCTTAAAGGGTCCAAGTGCTAGACGTGGAACAAAAAGAAGAGCCCGGTGCGTTTTACAACGTTGACATCAAGTACATAGATGAAGGCAGAACTGGCTATGTTCAAAATCAACACTTGCTTAGTTTACCGGAACAATTTCAAGCGTTGCCTCCTCAGGCTGTGGAATTCATCGTTTGTAGGGTTAAACCCATTGATAACGAAGCCGAATGGCACCCAAAAGTAAGTTGAGAAAATTTGGAGTTGGTTTGATTTAGTTTTTGATCTTTGCAAACAGTGAATACTTTTTTTCTTACTAATCCCAGATGTAATCTTTTCCAGATGTTTTGATGAACTATCACACTAAATGGTGCCTAGTGCCTGATTTTAAACAAGAAACAGCCAATTTGGTTCTCTCTCTCCCTCCCCTCTTGGTTTTAGTTTTAATTCTTTCATTGTGCCAAACAATGACTGGGATACACTGAATTCCTTAAGAGTTAATTAATATATTCAATAGGCACCTGTTCATATAATTGCTTGCCCTATGGCTACACTACGCTACTGCAGTAAGCTTCTGTTAAAAAGAATGCTATTTAGTCATTGAAAAGGAACACTGTCTGTTTTCTGAAGATTGCCTTTGTTTCTTGTTTTTTTTGTTAGGTATCCAGATGTATTAATGACAAAATCAGAGGAAAACCACATGAAGCCAAAGTAGCCCTTGTCCTGGGAAATACAATTTGGGTAGATCCGGTGGTATGTAATGCAGAATTCAACCGTTCCTTATTTCCTTTCTTTGAAAATGCAGGTAGTCCTCAAGTTATGACCACAGTTGAGCCCCAGATTTATGTTGCTAAGTGAAACGTTTGTTATGTGAATGTTGTCCCGTTTTACGACTTTCCTTGCCGCATTTGTTAAATGAATCACTGCCATTGTCACTTTTTTCAGTGCCATTGTCACTTTGAACAGTCGCTAAATGAACTGCTGTAAGTCAAGGACTACCTGCAATAGATGTAGCCCTTGACTTAAGACCACAGTTGGAGCCAGAACTTCCATTGCTAAGCAAAGCAGTTCTCAAGCAAACCACGCCTGATTCTTACAGCCTTTTTTTTTTTTTTTCGTCACGTGGAAGTGAACCACTGCAGTGGTTGTTGAGTGAATCACGTGGTGGTTAAACAACTCCAGCTTCTCCCATCGACTTGGCTTGTCAGAAGACAACTGGGAAGGTCATAAATGGCAATCACGTGACTCTGGGATGTTGTAAATATGGGCTGGTTGCCAAGCATACCCTAATTTCGATCACATGGCCATGGGGGGTGGGGAGGAATGCTACAGTAATTATAAGTGCAAGGATTGGTTGTAAGTCATTTTTATCACTTGTGCTGTAACTTTAAACAGTCACTTAATGAATGGTTGTAAGTCAACTACCCATTTTGAAAGTTTTCCCAGGTTTTGAAATTAGAGTGAACAGGTAGTTTCTTCTGAGTAATAGATACGATCAGTAGCTTGTAATTCTAATTTTCAGCAAAAAAATTGCTTTCTTTTTGTATTGGGTTTTTTTTTACATTATTGAAACTTAAATCTTAGAACCAAGAGAAGGACAGTAAGATCTGGCTCGGTCTAGGAATGTCCAAAATTTAAAATGCAGTCTCTGTAGATACTCATCTTCTAAGAGAATGAATAAAACAATAAAAGGATGAGATTGTGGCCATAAGTAGGACCAAGAGTCAAGCAATAATTTGGATCCTCAAAGAATAAGCCTGCAAAAAAAAAAGTCCCTTGTTTGTTTGTTATTTTAAATTCTAGATTCGAGTCACTAAACTTCAAGACCTGAAAACTTCAATCAACGAATATAATATTCGCTCTGAAATTCTATCTACTGGATTGGGAGTGGACAATCCCGAGCATATACAGGAACTTGAGAAATTATTTAATGAGGCTGAAATACCCCATGAGAAAAAAGAAAAGCATGCATTGTAAGATATATTTTATGGATAATTACTGGGTGCATGCACTAAAACTGAATGGTGGCTATTCAGAATCATGTTGCGATCATACTAGTTAAAGAACTACATTGGTATATAGTTTCACACCCTATAATATGGTTGTGGGAGGTAAGGATAAAATTCATGAGGTTAAGCTGGATATTTATAGCTGTGATATGTGTTGATCTGTCTCTGTTTCAGGAAATAAGTAGTCCCTTGAATGCATGGTTGACATTAGGTTACTCCAGACACCAAGGAGTAAGGATATGGCACTCCCCCAGTTCTGCAAATACAGCCATGGGTTTCCTACCTACCACCCACTGTTGGTGACACACACACTTTGGCCTGGCGTAATAACAAGCACAGTCCTTATGTAAAGAACCACATCAAAAGACATTTTTATTTTATAAGAGATTAATAGGTCAAGAACCCCGATAGCTTTAAAACTTTAGAAATGATAGCTTTAGACTTGAAAGCATCCTTTCTTTGTTCTTCTGTTTCAAAGACTTTAATTATTTGCTCATGTTATAGGGAATCGTTTAATTAAAGTCACTGCTTTGAGGTAGTTTGTGAAATCTCAGTGCCTTCTCCCCTGTGTTGCTCTTAGACTTTTCATATCACTTCATAAAGAGGAGAGCAACACTTCTCTTGAGCACATGCGTGGTGGGCCCAGATCAAGGGGAGAAAATGACTCTTGTGTATTTTCAGGAGACCTTCTCCTACGAATCATCCTGCCTCCCATCTCAGGGCACAGATGATCATGGTTGGAAGCTCCACATTTCCATTTTCCTGCCAGAAAGCTCCATTCCTGTTAACAAACTTCCACAAAAATTTAAACCTTGCTACCCACTAGGGGGTGGCAAAGAACCAAGAATAAAGCTCAACTCTTTCCAACTGGCTAGAGAATGGCTTTCTAGCGAAACGTTTTTGTCCTTATTAGATAAAAAGTCTTTCAATGTTTGCACATTCTTTTTTTAAAAAATAAAAGAGGTATTGTTAAACAGCACAGCTGATCAGCTGGAGAAAGGGTAAAAATGCTTCTATTAAAAAAAATGATATGTGTTAGGATCTTTTTCCTTCCTAAATTTCAGAAAAGGAGAGCACGTATTTTTGCTGGACAAAATATCTCGATATATGATCAATAGTGTGTTCTTAAGAAACATGGCATGCATTGCCCTGAAATACTGGATAAAAGCACAGCAGCTGATAATGTTAAATCCATGGCAAAACGAAGAATTTGTGTATTTGCACTAAGCAAGGCAGTGGTTAAGTGAGTTGGGCCTCCATTTATGGAATTTTGCCATAATTAAGCGAATCGCTGTGTTGTTAAGTGAATCACATGACCATTAAGTCAATCTGGCTTCCCCCATTGACTTGGCTTGTCAAAAGACAGCTGGGAAGGTTACAAACGGTGAGATCACAAGACCAGAGGACAGTGCAACAGTCATAAATACACGACAGGTGTCAAACACCTGAGTTTGGATCACGTGTCCATGCGGATGGTGCAATGGCCATAAGTGTAAAAATTGGTCATAAGTCACTTCTTTCAGTGCTGTTGTAACATCGAAGGTCACTAAACAAATGTTGTAAGTTGAGAACTACCTGTATTCTAATGGCTTAATGCTTGTTTTGACTGAAGGTTTCTCCTAAGACTGAAGCCCAGGTAGGTTCAGATTTTTCTGGGAGATTCTTCTCAATTTTTTAGTCTTGCTGGGTGACTATAATAGATCTCCCGGGAACAGATAGACATTTCAGTGTTTGTGCATTTCCCTTTTATTCTGGTATGTTTTTATGAATTACCAAAGAAAAACTACAGTGCATTTTGAGTGGTTGGCCTCCCTCCTTAATGTCTTTGGAAAAACCTACAGCAGCTGATGGAAAGATTTTTGACAGGAGTCGTGGTATGTGCTTCCTTTCATAGCACGCTGGCTTCCCTGCCACCAAATTCTTGCAGTCAGACCACTTGAGAGTATCTCTCTTTGAATATTTTATTAATGCATCAAAATACGAAATGCAAAGAAAAATTAAAATAGGGAAAATAAAAGGGGGAAAGGGAAAAACGTGTAGGAGAAAGGGGAAAAGGAAAGCATTGACTTCCAATTCCTTTTGGTTGCAGTAGAATAAAGTAGTAACATAAAACTCAACTTTCTACTCTTATACTGGCCATTTCTATAACAACAAACCTGTCTAATCAGCAAAACCCAAGGCTATTTGAGAGCATCAACGTTGTAGCGTTGTTGTTTTTTCTCCTGTCGCTAGCAGCAAAATAGAAGACAGGTGCTTCTTTGGCATTAGCAAAAAAATAAATAAAAGGATGTGAGAATTTTAAAACATATGCCGTTTGAAGCTAAATCTGTTTTCTCTTGGCTGAAAAACTCTGCTGATTCAACATTTCGGCCACGAAATTCTCTGTCCACTTCAGATTAAATCCCTCCACGGATGAAAGAAATGAGGAGGCTGAACCTCTTGAGCAGAATGTCTCAAATCCTGCAACTCTGAGCTCAGAGACCTCAAGCAAAGAGCCCTTGCCCCTTGTACAGAAATCGCAGCACAGCCAAGATATCATCCATGATGGTTATTCTCAAGTATCTTTAGAAAATCACTGTGGTAAGTACGATGTAGCAAATGAACGGGTGGAATAGAGTAAATACCCACAGGAGGAATTTTGTTCTGAGAAACTGGAAAGATAACAGGGTCCCCTGCTTGAGCTGAAGGTGGGACTAGAAGACCTCCGTGGTCCCTTCTAACTGTATTAGTTTATGTTCTGTGAAAAAAAAATCTGATTCCTAATGATAAGACTGCGGAAGATTAATTAAAATATGTATGCAAACTTTTCTCTTTCTCTCTCTCTCTCTCTCTCTCTCTCTCTCTGTGTGTGTGTGTTTTGTGTGTATATATGTGTGTGTGTGTGTGTGTGTGTGTGCTTCAGCAATAATAGTGCTGATGGTTGCCATTTGAAATATACTGAGATACGGACTATTTTTCTTTTGTGAGGTATCTTTACCTTGAAACCACTTTTCTAATTAATTTAAATGCAGTTGGTACATTGTGTTCAGTTTTACCCATTGAAATCTGGTAAAGAGAGATGCCATGCGAATTTAACTTGTTTTATTTCTTAATGTAGACGAAACGGTGCAAAATAAGAACAACGAAGACATCCTGCAGATTTCGCCTAAATGGTATCAACCTTTATTTGATGGGACTCATATAACGTGCCTTAGTTCTATGAAGAAGGGTGGAGGGTAATGTTTTTCTTGCGCTCTCCTTGTCTATCCTGGGTTCAAAGGGCTGCTTTTAGAAGGCTCCTGGCAGATCTCCCAACTGCAGAGTTTTAAAACTTCTCAGAGAAAGTCCAAAGTTAGGGTTGTTTGAGCAGTGGGTGAAAAATGTCTAATTTGACACGTAAATCATGTGCTCTTTTGAAGAACTAGAAGAGGTAGCAAACTTATCATAGCAAACTTATTTCCAGGAAAAGTTGTGGAAGAATGAAAGGCAAGCAGGCAAAAATTCTCTTTCCCTCCTTTCCTCTTCTCTCTCTCTCTTTCTCTTTTTTTCTCTCTCTCTTTCTTTCTTTTTCTCTCTCTTTTTTCTCTCTTTTTCTCTCTTTCTCTCTCTTTCTCCCTCTCTCTTTCTCTCTCTCTCTCACACACATACACACACATAAACACAACCACAAACTGCAAATTCCCCAAAATTGATTTCCTTTTTTCTTTTTTTGCTTCACGCATTATGCATATTGTTTTGTGGCTGCATGGCTTTGGATTCAAATAATGTTTATTTTTCCACACATGGGATTTCAAAAAATAATAATTCTTTTTTAATATTTTACTCTTCCAATTTCAATATGTAATTATTTTTTCCTTAAATGTTTTTTCCCTACTTGTATATTTCAGGGCATATTTATTTTTAGTTTTATAATGTAAAGCTTGAACAGTTACATCTATCTGTGCAAAATGCAATTACATATCTAACTGGTAGGGTAAAGCAGTTCAACTGTTGGATTGCGGGTCAGGGCCAAGATCTCAGTCAATGAATAAATATTCGGCTTTTCAGTTGGATCCTTTGTTTTGCTGATTTTGGGGTGGGGCGGGACAGAAGAGACCAATTTGATTGAGATTATTTCATGGAAGAGTAACAAGCTCTGCTCATCAGCTAAGTTACTTCATGAGCATTGCATCTAACTTCGCATACGAGCAGCATTCATATTTGAAAACTCCACTTTAACGCACTGTTTTAACATTTCAGCTTCCATCCAACCATAAAATGGTTTGATAAGCAAGACGCCGTTGTTGTAAAGGTAAAATTGCAAAATATTAGTAACTACAACTGCAGGATTTTTGAACAGAGGATCGCTTTCAGGTAGATCGATCTGTAGGGTCAAAATCTTTTCGAAGCCCGGTTTTATCGCTTTCTGACAAACACATATTTTAACATTTGTGCAGCGCTTCGGCAAACGGCAAATTTTATTTGGCCGATATGGAGCTGCAGAGAAGCATCCTCAGAGAGGAGTCAACGTGTGTCCTTAAGGGTGACGAGCCCACCATACTCCTTGTAAAAGTGAAGAAGGAACCTTGGTGCAGCTTGCTAAAAGAGAAAGTGAGTTGTAAATAGTAAAAGAGAGAGAGAGATTGTTCCTAAGGCATTTTCATGGTGTAATGAGGCATTTAAATTTGCCAACAGAACCATCATGTATCGTTTGACTTCGATTACTTGGATGATAATGAGGAAAGAAGCCCATTCTGCATAGGTAAGCAGTTCATTGTTTTATGTGCAGTATCTTCACGTCTAAAAGGGATGGGAAGCCCTTCTGTATTTTTTGCAAACTCTTCTGGGGAAGACAGGTAGCCACATTTCATTTTACCACACTGGAGATGGAGATGCAGGTAGTCCTCAACTTACGCCCACCATTGAGCCCAAATTTCTGTTTGCTAAGCAAGACAGTGAAGTGAATACATCCCGTTTTGCAACCTTTTGAATCTAGATTCCCTCATTGACTATTCTTGTCGGAAGCCAGCTTGGGAAGGTTATAAATGGGGGGTTATATGACTCGGGACACTGCAGCTGTCATAAGTACATGCCAGTTGCCAAAGCATCCAAATTTTGATCACATGACTAGGGGGTGCTGTAAAGATCCTAAATATGAAAAGCTGCCATAACTCGATTTTTTTCAGTGCCGTTGTAAGTTGAACGATCACTTAACAAAAGGTAAGTTGAGAACGGCCTGTAATTAGATCGGATAGGTCTCTTCCATGAGCCTCTGTATCTTGCCCATAGAACTCAATCGAGGACACAGGCCAATTCACGCTTGCATAGCACTAATGCAGGGATCTGTTTGCAGATTATACTGTGTATTTCATGGTGAAGTTGGAAACTGGCTTATAAATGTATTCTTAAAAAGTCTGTGTTCATACATTTGTATAACAACACTGTGATTTTCTCTATCAGCATCAAGTCCTAAGAAAGTGTATCAGATTCCTATAGGGGTGTGCGAAGAAGAAGAGGAGGAGGAAGAAGAATCTTCAAAAGACAGTGATTCAGAGAGTGATTTATCCTCTTGTTAATTATACCTTGGCCTTTAGTCTTTGATCCCCTACAAGGTTAAAGGATCTAAAATAGATAGTACAAAACCCCTCGCATGTGCATCGGATGCCTTTTTCATAGTGATACAGTCTCAGCATTTTATTAAAAATGTTGACAATGGGACTTCTATGGGGTGCCACATTTGCTATTTATTGACAGAATTCTAAGCATGCTCGTTGCAAACGAATCTTAACAGCTTTGAGTGAAATTTAATTTGATAAACAAGTTGATAATTACATCAAATTTAACAATTAGACCAGGATAGGTACAGTATTGAAAATTGCTTTTCAGTTCCAGTTATACCAAAATACTCCACAAAGGAGCATGTTTGGTTTTTTTTTTTTTTGCTTTTTTAAAAAAAATGCAATAAAATTTTGAGTTTTGTGTTTTGTAATGCTATAAGGTGCTAACAGGATAGGCTGACCATTTATTGTGACTCGGTTCTTAAGGAATGTAAAATGGGTAATGCTAATTCAGTCTAGTTGCTATGATGAGATAATTTTCCTTTACCTTTGTGAAAGGTAAAGCAGTAATATAACATTACAAACGAATAACTTTTGGTTCTTTTTTCACAATAGTTTCAAATACACAATGTTTTGTATATTTGTTTCGGAAAATGTTCAGATACCTGGTTTTGCTTTCAAGTGTTTAGCTTTGTTGTGGCATTGCAATATATCAGCTGGGTCAACCAAAACACCACATATTTCTTCCTTGAGCAGAAGAAAATAAAAGCGTATCACGTATCATATCATTTATTAGAAAATCTGAATACAGAAAACCTGTAATTATAGATGCAACTTACACAGAATAGGAAGTTTTGCAAAAGGTTATTGACAGTGTGCTTCTCAACCCCAGCAATTTTAAGATGTATGGACTTCAACTCCCAAAATTCCTCAGCCAGCAAAGTTATAAAGGTTGAGAAATTGTGTTAGAATATACAAGCTAGTTCTCTGAAAATCTATAGTTACTGTACAATCCAATTGTTCTACTTCTGTAGCTGTGCAAAGTTTATCAAAACAACAAAGGAAGCACAAGTCTACAAACAACCTAAGTTTATAATTTTGCATTCAGATAAATCCAATATTTGGCCCTTCTCTGAATTAATATTGGTCCTGTTAACCGTTAGTTGTCTTTCTGTGAAAAAAAAAAAGTGTTCATTAAAATTTAAAATGATTAGCCTCTGTTTTGTAAAATCTTTTATTATTTGTGGCTTGAAACTACTATAGAGTCAAAATAGTCCCAGAGGCTAATATTGAAACAGCAACCTTTAGGGAGCAGTTCTGAAAGAGAGAGTCTTGGATTTTATAAAAGCCCCTGAGTAATTTTCAAAAATTAATATTCAATAACGGTAAAAAAGTCTGTGGTTCCAGCTATGATATGGCCCTGGATTCTCCCATACTTGGTATGATACCGTTCGCGCATGTTTGGAGGAGTGACATCCTAACCCTAACAGGTTTTCAAAATTGCAGTAATAAATCTCACCAGTCTTTTTTAAATGCTACAAACTCCTTTGTTATCTTTCAATTGTAGTTTGATAATTAGATTTTGGGGTGCGATGCGGTTGCCCTCGTTTCTTAAACATCCAACACTGAAAAGTCCAGAAGGTAACACTCTGCATCAACCTCATAGTTAAAGCTCCCCAGGAGTGAAAATAACAGGCTTGGATGTCACCGGAGGAAAAGTGTAGACAATTCCTGTCTAGGCTGTGAGGATTAGACCGCATGCCAGGCCAATAAACCCCTATTATCCCACCCACTGATCTTGCAAAATGCTTTTAATACAGAGAAAGCATTGCACTGTCTCAAGCTCTCTTGAGGCCAAGGATAGACTTGTTGACTTCCTCGGGTTTTAGAGGTAAACATCTCTATCCTTCTTGCTTCTCCTTGACATTTGGATATGGCTCTCTAGCCTACTGGATGCAGGAGTTGGCCTCTTCTGTTGTGTTGGTTAACAGGTAGCTCAGACACATTGTTCTATGAGATTGCCCTAAAGGTAATTCTCAGTTGTTAAATGCTTTTCGTTTTGAAATTTAGTAGTGGAAACTCCCCGTTTCCATTCTTGATTTTCCCACGCTTGGTTATAAATCTTTAAACCATAACAGATGCGAAAAATATCCCCCTTCCTCAATAAGTCAGGGTAAATATGAAAAAAAAAATATCTTTGTTAAGATCTTTACCATCTCATACATGTTGTAAGATCTTTGCTGTCTCGTGCATATTCCGTAAACCACCAGCACTAAATTTTGCTTGGGCAAAATGGAACTAGTTTGGGGATTCTGTTTTTGCCCTGTTTCAGAAGGAAAAATAGAATCTTTTTTTTTTTTCATTCAATAATTTCTTCCGATGGAACGACTTCCAGCAGCATCTGAAGATACAGGGTGATAGGCTCTGAAATACAGAGGTTATCAGAGTTAAAGATAGTCTATTACTTTAATATTTTCTCTTTTCTGGAGACGTTTCCAATCAGGATTGACTGCATGAGCCTGGTTGTGATCAAGCTAACAAGATCCATTTAGAGATCTCTTCACAAATCCTTGTGCCCTCAGCATTCTACATTAACGGTATATTGCTGTCTGATGTTAGCAGAGGGTAAATGCTGAACTGAAGTCATCTTAAACTAAAACTCAATGTAGTTTTCTTCCCAACTTCACTGTCTGCTGGTTCCAGAATCACTGACCACCACCCCTATAAAACCACCCCATTAGTAGAGAAACCGTTTTTTCCACTGAAATTCAATTCCATGGCATGCTTTTCAATTCAGCAAAGCCTTTAACTTAAGAAAATTAAGTCCCGATTTAGCATCGTAACTAACCAGCAGAGGCCTAAAGAGGCATCCTTGCCTGGTGTTTCGGGCACAATTCTTGATCTTTGATACATGTGAAGGAATACTTAGGAAGCTGTCATCAAAAAGAACAAATGGGACTTTATCACTTCACATTTCCAACTTTTCAAATTCCATTCTGACAAGACAAACATTTGTAAGCAGGTACCCACAAGTGCCACCAGTTTAAAAAAAAGGAAAGTCTTCAAAAACATTCTGAAGGAAGAAGTTGGAATTCATTTTTTTTTCCTATTCTAGGAAAGAGATTATAAAAGGGTTGACCTAAGATTTCTATGATGCTTTAAAAGGCGCAGCTGGGTACCAATAAAGGCCGAGGTTGAAATGAGTCTTTGGTCCTCTTTCAGTTTGGTTGTTTTTTGTTTACAAATGTTTTGTTATCCAAACTAGATAACATCATCAGTGCATAAATGAAGTTTCAGGGAAGGAGAATGAGCTGGCAATTGAAAGCGAAATCCACCTTTATTTGGATTTCAGAACTTAGCAGACTTGCTAATGATTCCCCAGCGGCTTCCATTTGCAATAAAGTTCAGTGAGGTTATTTATAAAACCTCCATTCTTGGGTAGTTCCAAAGCTGAATTAACTTTCATTGCTTTATTGATGCTCGCTTTGCTCAATTCCATTCACCCCTATCACCTCTTTTAATGAATATTTTAAGGACTGCATTCATTCTATTGCTTCCTTGGGAACAGGAAAATGGGCTAAACTTTTCTTTCTGTTTTTTTAAAAGGAAAACCTCTTCCATTTAAGGTGGAAACCATCCGCATAAAACCATGCACTTACCTGAGATTTTTTGAGCCCAGCCAAACTTATAATGGACGAAAAGAACGTAAAAAATAAGTCCGCTAAAAATAAATAGGACACAGTACAAATATGCAAGCTCAGGCTGACTGATAATAGGTGCCAGAACCAGAAAGATGGCCACTAGCACCACAACAAAAGGGATGATCAGCGGTATCTGTAGGAGAAAGCAAAAATATCGTTAGGGAACTGGATGTAATTTGGCAAAGTTTGCTTGCACGGGAAGGCGAGGTATGGTGGCCCAATGAAACCCTTCTCTGGGCTGATACTTACTCTGATAGGCCTTTCCAGATCTTTTCTGGTGTAGCGCATCACAATCAGTCCCAAGACAGTTAAGCCATAGAAGAACCAGACTGCAAAGCTGAAGTAGTTAATGAGGGTATCGATGTCTCCTGGGAGGACATAAAAAAACGCTACCATCCCCTGAAAAATACGGAAGAAAACAGGAAGATGTGTGACAGGAAGGAGCTGCCGAGAAAATGCAGGCTTCACGGTCTCGGAGAAGAGACACAACTGCAGTGGCCAGTTCTTTATTCCACGTGTTCCATTCACAGCTTAATGACCACAATCGAGGTCAATCGAAATTTATGATGCTAAGCGAGATACTGGCTAAGTGAGTTTTGCCGCATTTTGCCACCTTCCTCATCACATTCGTTAAGTGAATTGCTGCAGTTCTTCAATGAGAAGCACTGTTGTTAAGTGAATCATGTCAGAAGGTCGCAAAAGGGGATCATATGACTCCAGGACACTGCAACCGTCACAATGTGAGTCGGTTGTCAAGCATCCAAATGTTAATCACATGACTGCAACGGTCATTAGTGCGAAAAATGGCCGTAAGTCACTTTTTTTCAGTGCTGTTGTAACTTCAGTCACTAAATGAACTGTTCTAAGTTGAGGACTACCTGTCTATTATTTTCAGGGAAGCATCAGCTGTAACAGACACGATTAGTTATGAAAGATCGACTCTTAAAACTGTTTTCCAACATGCAGTTCTCTTTGCTATTTCTTAATACATGATCGCTAGAGAGACCTCTAGAAGAATAAGAATGAATATAAATAAGGAATAGCGTGAGATTTCAAGGATCCTTCAAGAAAATGTGTCTGAAGTGGAATAGGGTTGGTCTAGGACAGTGGTCGGAGGTTGGTTTAGAAGAGTGGTCGCCAACCAGTGGGCTGGGGACCACGGGGTCCACGAGAAAATTTTGGTGGTCCACAGAATCACCCCTAAAGCAACCCAGGCTGCGTGGGAACACAAGGCTTGGGTCGCATTGTGAACAACACGAGGTAGTGAGGGGAGGTGGGAGAAAGGGCAGAGAGGGGGGAACTTGCCCCATGCGCCTTGCCTGGCCATCGGGCTGCTTCTTTCAGCTTCATTCTTTTGCTTTTGGCTGCCTGCAAGGAAAGCAGCAAAAGTCTTTCATTCTCTTCCCCCAAACTCTGCCCTGCAAGGCCTCCTGCTCCAAGAGGCTGTGACAAATCTCACAAAGACTCATTTCTGGTGGAGTTTGGGCGAGAGAAAGAAAAGCTTCTGCTGCTTTCCTTGCATGAAGCCAAAAGTCTCTCCCCGCCCCCTCCCCCCCGAGAACGCAGCTGGAGACAGTATCCTGCAATCCCAAATAAAGAATGACCGATCGGTAGGAAAACGGGGTTGTGGAACTTT